CAAAATATACCAACATAACTTAAATTGGTAAAATCGTCTCATATTTTTAACAACATATAGGCTTTTATTTTTTTTATTCAGTTTTTGAATTTATTTACTCATAATATACATTTTACTCAGGGATAAATATGTGTCCTTTAAAATAAAAATAAAAAGCTGATGGTATGTGTGTCGTTAGTTGTTAGACGTCATAGTTTTAAAATTTAATGTATACCAAAAAGCTTAAAAATAACTTTATTGATTTTATAAAGAATATGAAAGGATAATATGACATTGTAAAATTAAATAATTTTTATAAAAGAATTTAAAATATATGAAACATGATTAAACAGACAATGTGGAGTTTGAAATAATCATAATTATTTCAAATGACGATTGTTGTTATTAATTACATCGGCACACAAAAAAAAAAAAGTTGTCTGTACTTTTGACCGGACCCACCTACGGACATGTATTTTGACCCGTTGAATCCGAATTTGAAGTCCGTTTGGCCCGGTCACCCTTCAGATTTGAGTAAAATGCAAAAAACTGCAGTAACAGCGATGAAAAAAATTTTGTGGACCCTGATCAAGTATGATTTTTATGTATTTCAATTTACTGAAACTGAATCTGAACGTTAATTAGCCCGTTGAGTCGTCAACATTTGAAAAATAGCAAAAAAACCCAAAAAATTGTAATAAATCATGAAAAATCGAAATTATCGAGATGAAAATTTTTTGTATTCAGATTGAGTATGATTTTTATGTATTTTATTCCACTGAATTTGAATCTGTCTTCTTAAGTTTTCTTGTCCCATTAACGTTTTAAAATTTAAAAAAATCTCGAAAAAACAAAAAAATCAGGAAAATTGTAGTTATAAATATGAAAAAAAATTTATAGAACATGATTAAATACTTTTCTTGTATTTTTTCACGCATAAAATAGGAGTTTAGAATATGAAAATATAAAAAATTGTAATATTTATAAAAAATGACTAGAATGAAAAGAACGATTTTCTCGAATTTTAACCTCTTCATGCACGGTGGCATCATATGATACCATTAAATTGTAGAATTTATATAAAATCGAAAAATCGTGGTAGCAATGTTATTATTGTTTTCGTTTAATGTATGGAACGTTACGCATCGGTCTACTTGATTGTGTTATCTTTGAAAGAGATATATTAATAAACGCAAAACTGTTTTGTGCATTTGAATAAGTCAAATTTTACTTTTTTTTTATATATAATTAACGACCAAATAATGTAAGTATATTTATAAATAATTACTTGTATTACATAAAATAGTACGATCTATTCATATTTGGCAATATTGAAACAATATAATGTTGTTATGTATTCGAAATTGCATAGTTACCATGTGGTATCATTCGATACCACTGTGCCTATTATATGAAAAATAATAACAATTTATACTATGGTGTCTTTTTTTCTAGTTGAAAATAGATCTCAGGGATAAAGATATAGTTTTTTTTTTTGGATTTAGAAATTCCTAGTGATTCAGAATGTGCTGTATGTCCAGAATGTATGAGAGCATTTCACACTAAATTAATAAAAAATTGACTACAGTATATATTATTTTGTTAAATACTTTTAAAATATGTTATAAAACTTATATTCAGTTAAAAAACTGAAGTTATCAGAAGTCTGAAATTTAAGAAAAATACCTAGTCTTATTTATAATTTTTTAAATATTATTTGTTTATTATTATTCAATATTGATCTTTTAAAATTTGTTTTATTATACATATTTTATGAACTTAATTTTATGATTTATAATTTATGAAGTTTTTCTAAAAGTTGATGTTTGTTATTTTTTTTTTAATATAGAATAAAGTATGTTTGATAAAATTAAATAATATGAATATTTTTTTTTTTTCAAATATTGCACGATGGTATCATATGATATCATACTAAAACCTTATTTTTAGTAAGTCAAAATCAAAAAAAAATTTATTTTTTATTTTTACTAATATCATAAGGTAATTAGCAATCTGATTTGCAATTTAAATATTTTATTTTTAAGGACAAAAAATCTCGTGCATAAAGAGGTTAAAATTCGAGAAAATCGTTCTTTTCATTCTAGTCATTTTTTTTATAAATATTACAATTTTTTATATTTTCATATTCTGAATTTTATCTTTAAATATTGAACAAAAAACATTCAAGTCTCTGAACTTGGTGTTTTAGTTCGGGTTAACGGTTTCCAAATGTTATCAAAATAAGCAAGAATAATCATTAATATCTATTATGTACAAACTCGTTCAATAAGTAGGCTGATGGACAAATGGTCTACTTAGTTCCTTTGTTAAAATGAATACATGACACAGCTATCAAAGTTAATTAATATATATTTACAGTTATGATGTGCTATTTTATTTATATTTATTATAATTATTCTTCTGCGAGATAATATTAAATTTATAGTTGTTTGCTTTTAGACTTTTCTATATTGCCCAACAATAACTTGTCGCAATTAACTCTAAAACTATCTCGTCATTTTTATTTTTAGAGAATATTTTAATGTTTGTAAAGTTTAATATTAATTCAAAAAGTATGTTTGTTGAAAACTAAGAACAACATTTTATTTCGAACAATATAAACATTTTTGTTTAATTAATTTTACGTCTGAACGTCAGTCATAAAACATTGTTTTGTAATCAAAATCTCAACTTTCCCCAAATAAAAACGAAAACATACAAAAAGAAGAAAAAAAAAATTGAAATAAACTTATACGTTTAAAATTAACTACAATCTAAATTCTTCTGGAGTGGCAGCAAAATATATCTACAAAATATTAACAAAAACAGTAGAAAGTATGTGTAAATTGACAGTAGCTAATAGTAAATTATAGCGGTGACCTATCACTAATTTAATGGGCTTTTATAAAGATTAGATCAACGATATAATTTTCAATGAATAGAAATAAATGTAGTATTTTATATATTCATGTATTGTAAACATGAAATTTATCAATTTAGCTATTGAAAATCTTCCTAAAAATCATGCTTGTTAATCTAATTATTAGTAGTTAATATCAGAGACCACAATTTTTGAGTTACGATAATTGCATCAAAGTGTTTTGTGATGATTTTAATCACTATCAAATTTCTATCTCTATGCCACTGTATCGAATTACGACGATATTGAGTATTTACTTTTATAATATAAAGATTTATATATAATAACATAAATGATTTATACTCAATTTTAATAATATTAAGGGGTTATTATTATTACAAGTATTTAATCAATTTGCCAGCTTTTAAGATGAGTAATAAAATAATATTATACGTGTAAATTAATGTATTATGATATTGTATGAATTAACAAAAAAAAAACAATATAAAAGTAAAGAAAATATTTAAGTTTTCTACTAAAACCTTTAGTAAACATTTAAAAATAAACCTTAAGTATACATTTATTAAACATTAATTAAACTTTTTAAAATTAACCTAAAAAAACATTTAGAAATTAAATCTTTAATAAACATTTAAAAATCAAACATATCGAAAAAATCCTCTTTTAGATAACCAGACGTAATACATCATATAAGCAAATTCATTAAAAAGGTCTTTTGAAAGATAAATAATCTCCTGTAGACTATGGCATTTGAAAACGATGTACAAAACTCTCGGATGAGGTAGGTCGTTAGATGTTAAAGTTATTTAATACATACTTATATAATCATTTAATCATTTTTAATAAATTTTTTTAAAATCTGATCCTTTACCTACCCACAGGGAGGGATTCAAAATGGCAACTCCTGCAAAAAATTTAACTTCTTCAACTTAACTTTTGAAAGTGTTCCGGGAATACTCCGAGATTTAAATATATGTCAAATTATAGTTTATGATAAATACTATAACTTTAAAAAAAAAATTGTCCCAATATCTTTTCTTCAATGGGAAAATGGCCGTCGAATTTAACGAAAAATGTAATTTTTATGTGAAAATTACTGTTTAACATAAAATATTTTAATATTAAAAACTGCCATCACTTTTTGAAAAATTAACAAATTAAAATATTTCTTTTTTATATTGATACCTTAGATATTTTTTTTTCATTTAATATATATTTTTTTTAAATGACTCTTGACCTGTCCACAGGAAAGATTCAAAAAGAAATTTTTGCACAGAAATTTAACTTTTTCAACTTAATTTTTGAAAATGTTCGGAAATATTGACTTTTTTATTTAATCTTAAATGAAAGCTTATGTGATATAATTTACTATGAAAAAAAAAATTCGAGATATAGTAAAAATGGTTATCATATTCAAAGATATTCTCATTTTGTGTTAAAATTCTTGGTATTTAATTTATTTTAATATACCTTATAAGAGGAGTACACTGATTTTCCTGAATATTTTATAAATCATAGATAGAGAATTTAAACTTTTTTTTTATTTTAAGTCGAAAACAGTAACTTCAACATTTGAATCAGCTTAATTTTATCAAACGACGAATGTTTGCCGATTCAATAAAAATCATTGCTTGCGACAATGATAATAGTAATCGATAATAGTAACTCAATAGTAATCGAAAATTACAAATATCAATATTGACTGTTAATCATTGGCCTAGTCAAGAACCATCTTTGACTTCCTAGCATATAAACGAAGACCACCACCCTTTGTAGCATGTTAAGATCGGAAAATAGAAAAATGTAAAACTAATCATTAATATTTTTGTAATAAATAACGATTTAAATTTTACAAAATTAGTAAAATAATTAATTATAATTAATATGTTGATATTAATAAAGGTAACTTTCCCTTATGTAAAAAAATTAACAGATATTGTAAAAAAAAAAAAAACAATCCGTATAAAATATACAATAAGTACTTATGATAATATATTTATTATACACAAATAACAAGCTTAAAAAATAACTTAAATTATAAGTACGATCTAGATTGTACACCTGGTAACACTGCTGATGACAATACAACTACAAATCACACATTCAAACGCTGTCATTTTAATTTTGAATTATGATAGTGATATCATCAAATTGAAAAATATTTTTAAAATACCAACTTTAACTAAGAACTATGATTATTTAAAAATACTAAGATTTTTTCAAACATAATCTATTGAAGTAGCATTTTTAATTTCTATTATAAATTTTTATCATCTATCACTAATTTATTTATATTACACTTTACGGACAAAATGAACAGCAAAGTAGTCAATGAAAGTAGCCTGTTTTACATGGATTTTTGTCCTAACTGTTCGAATTTACTTTATATGGATGAGCATATGGGGGAAATGAGACATAAATGTCAAGTGTGCCCTTATTTCTCTCCTATTAAAAATGTAATTTTAGCGTCACGTTCATTCTACAAACTAAAGGTATTCTATTTGCATAGTACACATTTTTACATTTAAGCCCTTTCAGTTAAAACAATTTTTTTAAATTACTTTTGCTTAATTAAATAATACTCACTTGTAATTTTAATTTTATTAATATTTTAAATAACTATTTAGTAATAATAAGCGTCTATTTATTTTATTTAATCTAATCTCATAAATTTGCAATAAACTAATAATACCTTTTTTATGGAGTAAAATTAAACATTCAAATAACATACTATCATTAAAAGATGATAATTTTTATTACTGTCTTTACATTATAACTAATTACTCATAACCTTGTTAATTTTGTAAGTTACCCAACTTTTGATAAAGTGATAGTTCACTGTATAAAGGCTAAGCTAACACATTATTTTCTTCTCTTAAAATTATTTCTTAATATTATAATTTATATTATTGTAATTAAATAGTATAAGTAAATAATATCTGTATATGTACTGTGTCTAAAATTAATAGGTTCTATATTTAACTTGTGACATATTTATGAGAGTCTAAAGGTTTTGGATACCTTTCCCATTGATAAAACAGTAATAATGGATATACAAAGATCCCAACTATTATGTTTTCAATATTATTTAAAATACAAACACAAACTAGGTTTCTACATGTACACCACAGTGTACAACCTGTGTAAGAATTGTATTGAATTGGTATCTTAATATATTGAGGCTTTATACTTTCAAATTTTTTCAAAAATGATAGAAAATTATAACTTGTAAAATCACTAATGAACATTTAAAAAATGATAATATTTCATGGAACTTTATTAATTTAAATTATATTATATATTATGTACAATATATACATATTATATATTGTTACATACTCTTAAAACTAATATATATATTGTTTTCATTCTCAAATAGTAAATCAATTTTTCAAAAAATTTTAACAAGAAAATATGGAACCATTTTTCTGTAACAAATTATTCAAATGTATTTTTTTATATTCCAATATCTCAAAAAAATGTAGAAGTTGGATTTCTCAAATATATTAATATTAAAGATACTGGTTTAAAAATGATAGCAACAGATAAGTTCCCTAAAAGATTTTAGCATCGATGCGTAGCTGATTTTATACTAATAAAGTAAAAAATGTTTTGATGTTAAAAATAATTTCTTTGCTTATTTTATCATTCAGAATTTTATTAAAATATTTTTCTTTTCAAAATTAAAAATATCCCATAAAACATATAAATAGCTATAATATTTATATATATACATATAGAATAATCTAAAGTGAATAACTAAATTATTCAAATGTATGTATTATTAAAGGAAATAGATTCTGTTTTGGGCGGTAAAGCTGCTTGGGAAAATGTTGATTCAATTGATGTTGTTTGTACTTCATGTAACCATGGACGAGCTTATTTCTTACAAGTTCAAACAAGATCTGCTGATGAACCTATGACGGTATTTTATAAGTGTTGCAATTGCGGAAATAGATGGCGAGAGTAACATCTATACATTTTTTGTAATAACTCTTCAAATAATTGATCAATCTTATGTATATATACATTATAAATAAATATACACAATATTTAATAATTATGAATTTTCATTTATTATAAGTTTTTATCACTCAATTATATTTAACAGATATTAAGAGGGGAAACAATGTGTATATACAAAAATATTTTAAGGGAAAACTTATTAGCCAGTGACCTAAGTGCAAATAAATGTATAAAAAAAAATTTAGTGGTTCTTGGGTTAAACACATCTAATTAACAATTTTTTATAATAGCATGATAAAAATAAGGGTTCATAAGAAATCAGTCTCATTGATGCTATACTATTATTGTACTTATGAACACCAAAATATTACATAAGCAATCTCAAGCATTGACCCTCTATAGTGTTACTTAAAGTTAAGAGTTTTGACTTTAAAATATATACATTAAAAATTGTAAAATTTACGACTAGAATGGTTTCATACTAAAATAAAATACATACAAAGAAAATAAATTAACAATCAATTCAAAATAAAAACCATGACAATTTTTTTTCTTTTCATGTTCACATAGCAAAATGCATTTAGAAATGAACTTTATTAATAAACTTTAATATTTTTTTAATAACAATTCACTAGGTAAATCATAATACATTTGAATATACTTTTTGATGATGTTAATATAGAAAATAAATAGAGATGTTTAAAATTTAAATGCATTTTCGACTTTTCAATTGTTTTTTGCAAATAATATTTCCATTCAACTTTGGAAACAATGTCACTTTTTACCAATATTAAATAAAATTAATAGGACTTTAAGAACATTCAAATACTTAAAATATTGTCATATGTTATAATCTTTGGTATGCACTGAGTAACTCAGTGATTTTATGACCCCTATAAGTACACTTGCATAGTTGCATAGAAAGGAAGTAAACATACAGGACATTCTGTTATTTTAGTTGCACATTCAACACATGCATATACATGTCTGCAAGGAATGAAAGCTGCTTCCATTTCTTCTTTATGACATATTCTACATAGCATTGGATCTAAAGGTTCATCTGAGCACTGTGAAGAACTACATGGTAACTGATCAATATCCTCAATTACCTCTTCATTTTTACTATCATCCATATAAACATACACTCGCATTGCCATTGTGAAAGGTTGTCTACAAACAGCACATTGGTCAAGAGTCATAGCACACTGAATGCAAGCTATAACATGTCCACAAGGAATAAATGCCACTTTCATTTTTTCTTTATAACATATTTTACACAACATAGAATCTGGCATAGTATTTGGATCTTGTTGGGATAGACGAAGATTTATTTCAGATATCGATTCAGACATTTGATTACTATCAATAGTTTCAGATTGTTCATGTTTTCTAAAAATAAAAAAAATCTTATAAGAACATAAATGTTCGACAATTAAGTTTTCCAAGTTTAAATGTGTGCAGTTTTTATTAATTTAAATTACTTTAAGTTTCATAGTGGTGAATAAAATTAAGTGCATTTAATAAATTATAAGTGGATTAAATATATATATATATATATATATTGGGTAGTAATATATGAAGTTTAATAAAAATCTGAAAATATTCAAGGTAAAATACCTCGGAGTGTGGCGTTGAAACATGATGTGACACCTAATTAAAAAAATATACAAAAACTAATCAAAATTATTTTAACTACGAAACTTTTTTTACTTATATGAAAATGAACATGGTAAAAATAAGAATTTAAGTTCCAAATAAGTTCAAACTTGGTTTAATTGAGACAAAAAAGAATAACTACAATATGAAACCAAATATAACTATTATTATCATATTTTAAGGAGTAACATACCTTTTGATTGAATTGACTTTAATATTACTTTCCAATATAGAGTTGTCTTTATGATTAGCAATAAATTTAGACAATTCCTGTTAAAAATAAAAATCTTTTAAAATTAAAATTCCAAGTTGTTTAGAATTTTTTTTTTTAAATAATATACTAACCTCTTGATCAATAGTGGGAATTTGGTTTTTTTTACCACATGCTTCATCTACAAACGTTTTACCTTTACTTAACAAAACATAACTACAATTAGGAGACCATCTAGCATGCTCGGTCCAAGGTTCATCATCATCCTCCCAATCCTTGAGTCCTTGACTACAGCAAAAGCACAGCATTTGGTCATTTTGACCATCACCTAATAATAAGAAACAGATTTATACAAAACTTAATCAATATAATTTTAACATTTTTTAGTTTATATTTTTATTATACATTAAAAAAATTATTTAACTGCTATGACAATTGAAATTATTACAATAACATAACTGCTCTTTAAACTTTTCCAAAGAGAAAAACTTAAGATATTTTTTTTATGAAATTTATCAAAAATTACAATTTTAAAAAAGTTTTATTTTATTATATTCAAATCAATTTTTTCATTGTAAACAACAGCAAAATTGTTTCCTAAACAGAATCATATAAAAAATATTTAGAGCTGCAAAATCAATATACAGTTGCCTCTAATTAATATTTGTGTATGTTAACATCTAAGTTTTCATGAGTTATTTTTTATTTTATAACTTAATTTTTCACAATTCTCATGTATAAATCATCATATTGCATAAAGATATTTATGAGATTTCTTTTAATTAATAATAAGTAATTACCAATATAAAAAAATCCAGCTTCACTAAGGGTCTGTACATCTTGCTTCATTTCTTTGTGGCATTTATCAAAAGTTGCTAAACGAGCATCATATGTAGCAAATTCTTTATGTTTAGGAGCTTTAATTTGTTGGACAACTCCTAATGAATCTAAAAAACTTTGAATCTTCTTTGCTTCTTCACTAGAATTTATTTCTGAGGGAGGTGAGCCATATAACCCACAGACATCATACCCTGTAAAATTAAAATAATGATTAGGAAAAAAATACTTTTAGTATACTAAATTTCACATAAAAAAAATAGTTAAAATTTTGAAACAAAGCTAGGCTTAAATGGCTACAAAATAAGATTTGATCTAATAAATATTTTATTACTAGCAATTTAAAATAACATAATAAATTAAGAATATTATTTTAAATCTATTACTTAAAAAATATTACTATGACAGACTACATAGCTTTGTGCTTCAGTAGTCTAACATCTTTAACAGCATAAATTTTCTCATCTTATACAAAAATCTTATAAAAGAGGATATTTAATCTAAATTTAACTAAAATTACATACAATTTTACATTAAAAGCAATATCCAATAGAATTAAGCTTTTAGTTCAACTAATTTATCAAAATAAAATATTATGTTCATAATATGAAACTCTGGAAGAATAGTAACACAACTAAAAAAACTGAAATTTTGGGAAATCAATTTTATATTGTACTAGTAAAATAGTATTAATAGTAATTATCTGTTAGAAATTTTTATATTTATACGGTTTTCATGCAACCAACTGAAGCAGGAATATTGGCACAACTAAATTAAATGTCATGCTATGAAATGTATTGTTTTCGATGCAAGAATAAAGACATATAAGATATTAATGCCTTAAATATTATCAATATGGAAGAAATGATAAGAAACTATAGTAAAATTAAGAATAACTTGATACAAACAACTCGAAAATTTATTTTTTTGAGTTGTGTCAATATTCTTTCAGGAGTGCGATATGAAAATAGATAAAAAAACAAATGAAAATGTGAACAAGTGAAAAACACTCATTAGTTGTCATAATGTAACAATTTCATAAATTTCACCCACCTGAATTTTCTTTAAAGAATGGACATTGTGGAGATTTGCGCTTGTGTTCAACGAGTGGATCATCGCCTTGCTGCCAATAGTCAAATTCTTTTGAGCAAAACATACATCTAACTCTATCTTGTTTGCCTAAGTAATACAAGCCCGCTTTGGCCATTTGAGTAGGTCTTAAAAACTCTAACTTCCATTCATCATTAAATGTTTTTAAACGATTCTCATATGACGTTAGATCCCATGAAGGTGTTTCATTTGTAGCCATTGGATTTAACACTGATTGACTATCAGATACAAATTCTGCTAAAGGATGTGCAGTGTTTAATATAATGGGACAACCATTTGCCATATGAATAACATTTTTTTCATGTTTAATAATATGTTTTAAACTATGAGCTATAGAGTTATGATTAGGCGATGGACTCATCTGTAAAAAATAAAAAGCCATAAATACTAATTATTTTAATATAATATTTAAATATTACCATTACATAATGTATAGCTTAAAATATTCATCTACATTTTCATCCAATTTCAATTGAACAGAACATTAAAATTTTTTTTGTTTTTATTATTATAATTGTATAGTATTTATTTATGTTCATTAAAATTATATTAAAAACATTAAAATACTTATTGTTTATTGTCTAATTTATAAAAATCATAAAAAAAAATTCAATGTAAACTGGACTAATGTTTATTATTATTAAGGTTCCAGACTATGGATTTACAAAACTACCTTTAGTTTAAGTATATAAATTATAGATATTCGAGTCAGATTATCTTTAACTTGATTAATGTAATGAAAAATAGGGTTAATTTTCAAAAATATAAAAATGCCTAATATAGTATTTTTTGGTGAAATAAGTGAAAATTATTTGAGTATAAAATATTTAGGCATAGTGTAAGATAAGTTTGCATTGACATATTAATGTCTAATGTTTTTTAAGCATAGCATTTTTTTTTAATTATAGAGGCAAAAAACTTGAGTCATAATATGAAGATTTGGGAAAAAGTAATATACAAAAGAATAAAAGCAAAAACATCAGTAATAAAGAACCAGTTTGGAATTTTACCTGGACATTTAATGATTGAGCCGGTTTTTTGTGTAAGACAATTAATAGATAGGAAAAGAAGAAAAAACTGTGTATGGTGTTCATAAATTTGGAAAAAGTGTATAATAGAATACTGAGAGAGGTGTTTTTAAATGGGTATTTATGAGAAACAGAGTCCCGAAAATGTACATTAATATAATAGAGAATATGTATAATGGCACTTGTACCAGGGTAAAAAGTGTGGACAAAATAACAGAAGATTTTAGAGTAGGATTTTGCTTTAAGCCTTTAGTTATTTTCTATAGTGATGGATGGAATTACTAAACTAAAAAATGATTCAACTTTAAAAATGAAATTTTTTTTATATTTAAAAAAAAACAGAGATCCGTTTATTATAAGCCCCTCCCAAATATTTGCAAAATAAGTACAATATTAATTAAAAAAAGGTTTTAATTTTTTTTAATTATATATATATATATATATAATTCTTAATTTACCAGCTAATAATTACTCTTTAGGATTATCTCTTTTTATGTGTAGGGTGTCAACTTCATTTTTTTTAATGGTAACATATATATTCAATTAACTTATAAAATATAAAATTAACTAATTAAAAAAATAATTGGTCGATAACAACTTTTGGACCAATATTTCAGAAGTTATTAACAATTTAAAGTAATGACGAGGTGAGGAATGGGTGCTGGTATATTTATCAACAGACATTTCCGGCCATACTATTTGTTCTGCCTAAATATAAAAATGAGAATAACATCCTAAGTACTGGTCTAAAAGTGGTTATCAACCAGTCATTTTCTTAATTAGATAAATTCCTATTTTATAATTTAACTATATGTGTTGCCATTAAAATATATATACATATAACCCTACACATCCCAGAGAGATAATTAATTTTGCCAGAAAGACAGGACTCTTTGGTCATCTTTAGAGGTGACTTTATGGTTGGTAATGTATTAACACTTATGTGGGTAAACCGAATCAAGACAATTCGGTATGAGGTGCACACAATGGACCAACAGGTCTGAGTGCATGTCCACCCGATAATAACTAAAACTAAAACTAAACCTATACATTATAAGGTATGATTCTAAAGAGTAATTATTAGCTGATAAATTAAGACTTTAAAGTAACTAAAAAAAAAATTTTTTTTTATTATTTATATTGTATTTATTTTGACAGTAAATGAGTAGTTCATGATAAACCCTATGTACAGTATAATTTATATTTAGTATGAATACTAGTTCCAATATTTTTGTTGAATGATTTTTTCATAAAAAATGTATTGAAAAAATTGTATTTATTTATAAAAACCATAAATATAATCTAAATTTTTGTTTTAAAATTGAGTAGTATTTTTATTTAGGAAAGATTAATCTTCAAAACTTAATATCAATTTAGTTTTAAATGTGATATTTATAAATCAAAAAAAAATTTCCAGACACTTTTCAATGTCTGTTGGCATAACAATTCTTGTTATGCCACTTTTGTTTAATACAAAATTCATGTTAGTGTAACCTATACTAAAGGTTAAATATACATCTTTGGTCAAAGAAATAGGGGCTCAAGATAATTTTATCAACTTATCAGGAGGGTTTTTTAGAAACTAAGCCATTTTTCTTAGAGACCAAAGACGTGGTTGATAGAAAAAAACTAGATGAATAAAATAAAAATTACAATATTTATTACAAATAAAAATTTAAACATTTAAATTACAATCTGGTATATATTAATGTCACATTGCATTAAAGTTTATTTCTTCCATTAGACTTAACTGATCTCATTCTCAAATCATAAAAGTACAACACTCAAACAAATTGAAATCAGCTGATTTTATTTTAAATCATTTAGATATTAATATTAAAGATATATCAAATACCCTTGATAAAAACGTCGATTAAAATACCACATAAATATTCATACAGATAAAACAATGGTTATTTTTCGATTAGTATAAAACTTTACTACTCAAAAATAAAAATTAAAAAAAAAAAATATCTTTCTATGATAATTAAATATGTACATCTATTTTAAAATCTTATTTAGGAAGTGCATTATCTGAAAAAACATTAAGAACAATAGAAAAATACAAAATTACCTTTAAATATAAAATAACAACGAGATCATTAAATTTTGAATAATTCAATGTAATTTTAATTAATTTTATTTTTAAAAAATACGTCGAAAATAAAAATAAGTCACAAAAAGAAATAAAAATTACGGCGTAATCAGTATCGATTATTTTAACATTTTCACCAAGGACCGTAATATATTACAGATGGAACGCCTTATACGGCCACGCAATAACCTTCACAACACTCGTAATGGAGTTGTACCAACCGTCTTGTCGTGGCAAAAAAAAAAAAAACCCCGCCAACCAAATAGGATCAAAATAATAAAAATATAATTGTAGTAAATGATTTAAAAATAATAATTTTTACGACTAAACTAATGAGATATGTGTAATATAACTCACTGTACCTTACATTTAAAAATGTTATGGCGACCGCGAGGTATAATCGTTGACAAATAAAAATAGAAAAATCCAACGAAACACAACACAAATTTTAATGTTAGTTTAAAAAACAATTAATACACACGCCATGCCACATTGACCAAATTCAATTAAAACACAAAACAACACACGAAATTGGCGGCGTGTACAGAAATTTGTCGAAAAAATTGAGAAAAATATTGAGCTTACGCTATACGTGATGCATTGTATACCACAAAACGTACACAAGAGGCCACAGTGATCAGCACTACCGTTGAACAAGGGTAACTATCAGCGCTGTTCGGTCGCCTTCGTTTTGGCCCCACCAAGCGTTCGTCCGCCATTCATTGTACTACAAATTGACTCTGAGAACCACTGGAACGCCTGCATGGCTCTCGGCAGAAACAACAATGAAACTTTCAAAACATAAATAATAGTTACAATAACACATGATGTGTTATGGGCGACTGGATTTCGCACACATGAAATATGTGCAATGTTTTGCTCGTAGCATCACTTCTCTCAACTGTACCAACTGCTTCACAGCCGTCAATTGTTTATTATCGAAATACAAATCTTATGTATTTAAACAATTTTGCAGAGTAGCCATAGATTTGTTATTGTCACTCTCAAATAAATTGATCAATACTTGTAATTTTACTTTAAGGGGAAAATGTTCAGTTCATATTCTGCTACCAAAAGTTATAATATCCATCAAAACAATTCTATTTAGTTTAAGTATAATTACTTAAATAGTTACACTACATAAAAAGTGTATTCAAATATGCGCATCACATTGTTTAGGAGCTGACTTCGAACTGAGTTAAAATAAATTAAGATAATATTTTAATAAAATAATTATTCATCTGAGTTGTCTTAACAATTTCAAACGATCTAATTCATAAAAATTAAAACTGATATCATGATCTTGATATTTCGATGAAATTATTAAAACCAACGGTGAAAAATTCCAACCATTCTGCCCCAAACGACACTGCTGACTAAAATTTGTTTTTATATATTTATAATACCAATATCAAATGTTTTTAATAATTGTGATTTTAACCAGCTGCTGAATGCTCAACCTCAATTAAATAAAATTTACGCGAAAATGTCTATGCATTCTGTAACGTGTATAAATATAAATTGCATATTATATTATTGTACGCGTCAAAATAAGTCCATTACACACTTAAGTATTTACTTGAGTAAATATCAATTTCTGAAGACGTGTTATTAATTAACGTCTTTTTAAAAAACAAAGGACACAGCCATTAATGAGAAAACTTTAATGTTTGGTAATTTATCTTCCATTGATGTTATCGCCATCAGTACTACGAATTACTGACAATAGTTACTAGAATCTGTTAATAGTCCAAGAAAAATATCATTGAGAAAATAAATACCATAAAACTATGTTCATTTATGTTTGTGTAGATAATATATATTGAAAATACTTATGATAATTAAACATTGTTTTTATTAATTTTGAAATGACTATGAGTGTTATCAGCAGGGTCAGATTAATCTATTTGTGGTCCTAAACACTAATTGAAAAAATAAGGCTAAAATAGGAACTGAAACGAGGGTAATAAAAAGACAAAAAAAGTCTTTAAAGTTAATTCGTAGGCTTTAGGCACAATGCCTAGTGAATAATACGGCCCTGGTTATCAGAAAAAATACAATAATTTACAAATATTTACTCAAATAAAAAAAATTGTTACCTAAGCAAAATAATAGCTCAGACGTCTGGTTGGTTTTGTAAATATATCATAAATAATTGTAATAATTAAGTATATAAATATCTCAACAATCATCAAACAATTATTATAGACCTAAGACATAATAAATACGATTGGGAATTCTCCTTAAAAAAAATATATATGTTCTTAGATAACTTTTGTCTCTTAAGTAAATGATTCAAAATAATTACTGGACAATTAAATTATTAGAAACAAAATACTTCTAGATAACCTAGTGTAGAATACGTCATAGTCCATACTTCACAAAGAACAATATATATATATATATATATATCCCAATAAAATAATATGTTTATATCATAGAAGTCATAAATCTAATATTATCTCAAATTGAGCAGACAAAAAAATCAAAAAATGTTTTATGATTGCTGTAAAATGATTTTATTTCACCGATTCATAGAATGATCGAGTTTGGAACGTGGAAATAAGTCCGAAATACACTACGTTAGCACACGGAACGTGTTAAATTCCTTGAAATAGTGAACAATAATCAAAGAGAAAAAGGTTTCATTCAAGAAATGTATCCACGGGGTTGTTTTAGAAATCGTTACTATGTTTACAAATTACAAGGGACGAATTGTTTTTTCTTAAAGGACACTCGGTGTTTGCTGTGAAAGCCTTCCGAAACAAAGAACTGTAACATGTTATTTTAAAATGTTCGGCGGATGTGGGTAGATACTCGGAAAGTGGTTAGTAAGTAATCGGAAATCGAGATAAGTCATTCAGTCGTTGACCTATTCCAACTAATGGCTGCATTATGCGTATTTTTCAAGTTATCCAGTTAGCATGTCATATCCATTTTAGCGCGCAGCTCTTTGACTTTCGAAGAGAAAGCAGATGCTTCTTATGCGACCGAGTACTCGGCACAGTTATACGTCTTTTATAAAAACACACGTCTCGTAACTTTATAGCGATTTCAACTGTAAAATGTTACGTGTCAAGTTTTGGACGACTATGATGTTCTCAAATATTTCTGTGTTTTAGAGAAACATGACGCGATCATATGTCTAATTTTTAATAAATTTGTTCTGATCAGCTGCGCTGCTTCCTCAGTCAAGTCGCTGTCCAATTTCAAAATAACGTGTTTTGGGTATAATTACTAGAACAAGTATAAAGTATGAACAGCTGTACGGGAGCGGGCGGGCGACAGTCGTATACTTGCACAATGAAATGTGTTTGGAACGAGCAGTTGTTCAATCGAGTACAAACCATCTGCCGGGCCGAGAACGTGCCGAACGGGGCGCCACGTTGCCGGCAGACAGCCATAGAGAAACAAACCGGTTGCCAGCATGACGCGGCCACCAGTGCGGCAACAGCGCTCGCATTCCTTCACGGATTTCTGTGATTGCGGCGGCGGCGGCGGCGGTATGCAATTGTTTATTTTGTTTTCCAACCCGATTTTTGTTGTTCATATTCATTTCACAACATCTTCTCTGGCCTTTGCTTATTCCCATTACGTAAACAGATCATTCATAGCAATCGGTGTCGACATATGTGGAGAATAACGGCCGGCCGCCTATTCATTGACTAGCCCGAAAACGTCTTTCCACACTAATTGAGATAACCAACGCTGTTTCTCTGTAAAATCTAATGATAATATTTTATCTGTGAACCCGAAGACTTCTCGTGTGACATAATACCCAATTTCTGCGAAATCCAAATGACTCATTCAGCCGTAATTCGACCCTTGTATGAAATTAATTGTTGTTAATTAAACCAGCAGAATCCTAGAGATAGTTTTGATGGGAAAATAAAAAATGTTTGGAGTCGGATAATTAATCAAGAGTGTTATGCGAGTTCTAATGAAAGCCAAGTTAATGACATCTATTTGTGAGAGTTTAAACTTGGGAAAAACTTACGATTATTCTGGTTGAACTTGAGTTTTAACCACAAAGTACAAAAACTTCATTTAGTAAACCTTATCGTATTTATGATGTACTCGACAACATTACGTACTCTAAAACACTAAATGTCTAAATTATTTTTGTAATTATTGTAATGGTCATTCTTAGTTGTTACGTAATTTGTTTTGAAACTTATTAAAGGGAATTTTAAAAATGAAATGCACACGAGTATGTGTTTAATATTTTAGTTGACTATAAATTTAAATTAGTCATTTTTGTAAATGTGTACATCAAATTCGTATACATAATATTATTAATTATTGCTAAAAGTAAAAAAGAAACATTAGTTTTTAAGATTTTTAAAAAAATCTCATCTTTAAATCCGTAAAAAAAAACCGTTAGTACTCTTGATTGCACTAAATAAGTGATTCGATCATTTTTGAGTCTTCGTTTGTATTTTACGTTTAAATTGATGGCAATTTCTAACCTTAGGACTCCACTTGATTTTCGTAACAAATAAAATTAATCGATAAAACAGTTCAAAGGACAAATGACTAATTTGAAATAACATTTTTGATAACTATTTATCACATAAAGAATTGTCTGTATTAATGCAAATGTATTAATCATGTTTACTTTTGCTTGTGATTCATGTTGTTGAAGGACGTACACAACAAATATTTTGTACAGTTAAGAATATTTTATTTTTATTCGTGCAATGATTTTAATTAGCCATCTCCTCGCAAACAATAATTAAGCCAACTGTATCAGTAGTGTAAAATTTGTATTGTAACAATTACATAGAATTGGTCATTGGTAAAACATATAATTAAAACAGTATTAAATTAAAATGTGTCAATGTAATGCTAGTGATTATATGGTTACCACGAAAACCATTTTAATGACTTAACAATTATGAAATTCCACATTTTTTTAAATAGATTTGATATTTTCAAGAATCATTTCAAACGTAGTATTGCAGAAGTGTATTTAACACAATTCTTCATTTTTTGAGTCGTATGAAAAATGTTTTCATTTTGTATTGGCATATATTTCGACACAATCAAACACTGCGCTGAGCCAAGTAATTTTGGGTTTTAAAAGTAAAAAGTTGATCATGTAGGCAGTCGATTTGATCAAAGTTAATCCTCATTGGAATGTTTTCTATGTGGGACAGAATGAAAGAACCGTGTTCTCTTTCCTTTATTGCTCGACTGCTACGGAGTATACTATATACATTTTTTTAGTACTACGTTAATACTACTTTTACTACTACTCCCACTGCAGTAGTGTACCACGACATACCTGCCCACTATCTCTACCCATACGAATTTCATGTATTTTAAATTCGACAACTGGAGGAGGTCACGTTTGTGCCTTGTGGTCTGCATTCCTTACCACTTATCACCTGAACTCGAAAACTCATAGAACGGAGACACCAACCGAACAACAGGTCGTTTGAAGTTTTCCGTCAAAGTTGCCTCCTACTGCCATCATTACTTTTTTTTTATTATTCAATTAAGCCTTAGAAACTGGAAAATTCGATTCCACTCTAAAAACTCGAAAATGAGTTGTGTTTAGACTGTAATGTGCAAAGGTCAATTCCTAACCAACAACCAATATTTACCTTCATAATAATTATAAATTATACCATTATTAGCACGCAATAGACTACTATCG